AGCTCCTGTGTGGGCGCACGGGAGGGAGCTGGGGGAGAAACAGGAGAGGTTTGGTGCTCCCCGGGGTGGCACTGAGCATCGCTTGCCGGCTGAATTTGCTGAGCAGCAGAGGAGCAGGGAGGTGGCTGAAACTGCTGCCCCTGGGACATGTGGGTCCAGATACCAAGCCTGGACATGGGGGACTGTGGCTGTTCCCTGCCCGGCAGCTGGAGTCATATCCTTGCCAGGTTTTGGGAGGAAGGAGGCCAAGGCCTCCCTGCTTGCCCCATGGGGTCTGGGGTTGCTGCGACGTCATGGAGTGACAAAGGGCCACCTGTCCCTCCTGGTTGTGTGTGGGGACCACACAAAGCCCAGCCCAGACATCCCACCATGCGCGTGCCCCTGCCCTTTCTTTCTGCTCTCCTCTCCTTTCCTTTTATTTTTATTCTTAGCTTCTTACCCTGAGGTTGTAACTGTGATTTCACCAGCGCCGCTCAGAACACACGAGCGTTGACTTGCTCCAGGTCACTGGGTTGCAGAAATCCCAATATGAGGGTTAAATCCCCGAGGGGTCATGGCTGTGCCCGGCACAATGGGTGTTGGTGGCTGAATCCTCAGCCTGCTGTGAAGCTGCGCTGTTCTCTCTCCCTGGACGCCAGGTCTGCGTGTGATTGCTTAAATCCTGTCACGGCCCTTAAAATTGTCATTAAAGAAAATATTGTGAACTGCAAAGAAAAGAACCGGCTGCATAAAATCCTTCCTATTTATATAAAAACGTGCAAAAATGCTGTCGTTTCTGTAAGTTGGCCTTTGTTCAGATGTTTTTGCAAATGTGATTCAGATAAACACTTCCAAATAATAACAAACTTTAAAGATAAGAATGAAGCTCAGCAGTGACTCGTTTGAACAAGCTTCAGCTACAGGCAGCCTCAGCCACCTAATAGCCTCCGAAAACACTTCAGATCCAGAATATAACGTAACGCAAAGCCTCTGAGCTCCTGAGCTTGGGCTGTGGTAGGGGTGAATAATACCACGGTACCGAGTGGAGCTTACAGGGGATTTTGGTGACACATCCTTGTCTCCTTAGACAATGCCACCCAAATAATTCATGAACAACAAACAGTGCAGTCTCTTTCAGGGGAAAGTGCTCCCCTCCCAGCTTTCAGCCACGATGAGGATAAGAATACCTGTTGTGATGGCTCTTTGATGGAATATAATAAAATATCCCTGATGGCTTTGCTGAGGCAGGGAACAGCTTTGGCTTTCGTGCATGAGCAGCTCTCCGAACCCGCACGCCTCGGTGCTCAGGACGAGGGGAGCTGAGTGCTGTGAGCCCCATCCGCGAGTTCGAGCAAGAGATTCTTTTTGGAGAGATGAGGAGATTGCGGCTCTTTTTTTTTTTTTGCTTTCAGAACTTGTGACATTTATTTCAAGCTTTTGAAGCAATCTTGTGGGAAGCTCCGCCTTTATATGAGAGCCAAGAGACTAATGTGCACGGGAGTCTCGGAGCTTCTGAAAATAGCCACCAGCTTTTCGCAGAAGTGGTGGAGGCTGGTGAGAAGAGTGTGGAGCTGTGGCTGTGGGGGGCAAAGGAAGGAAAAGCTGACATGGGGGGTGCTGAGATCACATCTGGGAAGGATGCTGAGAGCACATCTGGAGAGGATGCTTGACAGCACACCTGGGGAGGATGCTGAGAGCACATCTGGAGAGGATGCTTGACAGCACACCTGGGGAGGATGCCCACCTGCAGCACACAAAAAGGGCTGGGAGCAGCCCGCAGCCTGGACGTCCATCCCCAGGGAACTTCTTGTTCCCTGAAACGTGCTTAACCTCGTTTCAACTGTTTCCCCTTTCAAATGTGCCGATTTGATGAAGGGGTGGGGGAGTGTTCAGCCCTGCAAAATGATCGTTAATGCCAGTTGTGTGTTTGCACTTGGGGGATTATGTTAATCATGCTACAAATGACGCTTTGAATCATGTCTAGAGGTTAATTAACATGCCTTTCTTCTCTTAAGAGGGCCTTCATGTCTGCTTAGAGTTGCTGGCTTTTTTCTGCTTCCTTTCATAATTACTTTGCAGCTCTCTAATATCGTGGGTACCTTTAATTTAACCCTGTCAGTGCTCAGGCTGCTGGGGCTTTGCACCGTGCTCAGCATCATGATGGTGACTTGATGAGGTGGAATATAATAAAACATCCTTCATGCCTGGAGAAGCTGTGGCTGGGCTGTCTTATGCAGGCTGAGACCTTGCAGGAGCTGATGGGAACTGGAGAGGGTCTGGCTGGAGCCAGGAGAGAAGAAGGCATGGTGATGGTAATATTGCCCAGGGACCACAGCCAGTTTACGAGCAAGGTCCTTACGTGGGCACTTAATGAAAACAGAGACCTGTGTTGGGAGGACTTGGAGCTGTGAGGGCTGGAGAGGGGCATCCCTAGAGGTGCAGGCACCATGGGGAGAGGGGATTGCTCCTCAGGAGGTCATCTGGCAGACCTGGGAGAAAGGGGCGAGCTTTGGAGCTTCATCACATCTCACTGCTTTGGTGCCGGATCCCTGTGTTCATATGTGCGTGTGCAAAATAGTGCTTTATCCTCAGCTAATTTATTTTCTCATTCAATGGGAGCATTTGGCTCATGGGTTCCAGTTTCAGCGCTGCACTTCGGAATCCAGCGCTGCTTCATTTCAAATTTCTATTTTTATTTTTCCAGATAGTCTCCAATTATTTTCAGGCTTTGCCAAGCATGTAATCTAAAATAACAAAGAAGCTGATCCGCCCGTGGTATTCACATGGACCACTAGCCCATGAAGCCAGTGATGCCCCTCTGGAGCAGAGCACAAAATAAGCCGCTCGGAACAGGGGGTAAAGCTTTGTACAGCCTTGGGAGTTCCCTGGGTGGGTCTTTCCTAGGTTTGTGCCCGTAGCAGGACTTGAAAAGATTCAGCCTAGTGAAAATACACAGTAAACCTGCTTACCTTTTTATTAGAAAGCGCTGAAAGGTTTCATAAGCCTTCATTGCTGGTTTCTCATCATGTCAGTCCAACACTGGGTTCCCGATGTAACCTGAGGTTTGCCTGTTGGGGTCAAATTTGTGGAGTTATGCAGCAGCCCCGATCCCAGTGAAAAAGCACGTGGGGTGCTTGTGGAGATGGGAAGATAGCTGGAAAATGCATTGTTCCTCTTCCAGCACAGGCTCTGGCACAAGGGAGAGCTGAGTGTTTTAGGGAATCCCCGGCTTGCAGTGTGGCCCAAGCAGGGAGCCACGTGTGAGACTCTTGGGCAGAGTCTACTCTACCTCTGGGGCCGTGTATCAGGCCAGTGTGTTAATTTGGGATTATCAGGAAATCAACTTTTATTTCCTCATCCTAAGAGCTTCCCAAGAGAGCAGGTTCTTCCTGGCTTACTCTGCCTACCAGTCAGTTTGATTTTTAATTGCACTTACACAACCTTGGCAAGAGGTGTAACTGCTCAGCAATTCTTGAAATCACCGTCTTCCTCTTCATGCATATTGCCTTGGAGTAGAATTTATCTCCTTTCATTAGCTTCCCAGAGTTTTTTGATCTCCACTAATAGAAGAGAAAATACTGGTGTTAGGGAAACCTGTAATTCCTGGCTTCTGGCCCTGTGCCTCAGTGCCCAAGTAGCAGCGTAGAACCAGGACTCGCTGACCAGGGACCCTCTCCCTGCTAAGCTGGGCTGGGCTGAGTGCTGAGACAGGACCAGCTTATGGGTGGGCCATGGAAGGTCAAGTTGATGGAAAATACAGACAGGCCGCTCTCAGGATTAATTCCACCAAGTCTGCTCTCAATGGGAGACGGAAGCTGCTTTGCTTAAATAAAGGCACAGAGGTGGGCATTAGCTGCGGTGTCGCTGCTGGGGCTGGGCAGCAGCCAGGACTTAGCTGAGACGTGGCCGCTCATGACAGTGATGGCCAGTTCACACCAGGTCACCTGCCCACAAACCTGGGTGACAAACAGTGAGTCCTAAACCCTTGGGAAGGGCATCGCCCTGGCACACTGGAGACAGATTCCCCAGAGCAGTCTCTGGCACAGGGTGGCAAGGACACAACAGGGACATTTCAGCAGTGGGACATTCTCCCTATCCTCTTGAGGCTGCCAGTCCCACTCCCTTTGGGCTCCTCTCCACTGGCTTTGTAAGGAAAAGGCAGTTGGGAGAGCTTTGTGACCTGCACGGCCTTCCCTGGCCCAGGACGATGAGCCCAGCTTTGCTGCCAGCACCAGGAAAGGGCTTATCCCAAGGAAGGATAATAACAGTGTGGGTAGGAAGGTCTGATCTGGTACCCAGCGCCAGCACACTGCTTGCTGCCTAATTAAAATTTCATTAAGTTGGTTCGCATCCATTGATGGAGGTCACAGGCACACCATTGATGTGCTAATGTCTTACTTTTTCCCTTTTTTCCTCTTTCACCACTATCCATCATCCTCTTAGATAAAGCAGTGCCATTAGGAGCTGCTTTCTAGTGTCCCCAGATGCAATGGCACTGGAAGAAAGACAGCCGTAATTCATCAGACATATTATCCTGTCTCTTATTTTCTCCCTAATTAAAAAAATGCAATTTTTTTTCTTGAATTGGTTTGGACATTAACCCCTCTGGTGTTAGCTTGAAAGTGGGAAAGTTACTTGGAAGACCGGGACTGGCTGAGCTGTATCTTGACAGCGGTTGCTGAATTTTGTGCGTGAGCAGCTAAGTGTGGACTGGGGAGAAGTACCCCCTTTATGTTCTGTGGCATGGGCAGGTCCCCACTGACCAAATCCTTCATTTCAAGGGAAGAAATGGGGACGGGAGCATCGCTGCCTCCTCTGCATCCCTCATGTCCCAGCCCAAGCCACCCTGGCTCAGGGGGCTCTTGGAGATCAGCCACGTCCCCAGGAGCATCACACCTGGGGCTCTGCGTTACTGCCAGGCTGGTTTGGGGAGGTTGGACCCGCTCCCACCGTTCCCAGTGAACGTCACCAGGCACTTCCTGGTGCTGCTGGGCAGGGCATAGCACCTGCATGGGGGCACGATGGAGAGGGAAGATCAACTAGGACGGAGAAAGCCAAAAGGAAGTAATTGCCGGGGAGGAGAAGACGAGGACGTGTGGGATCCTCTTCCTGGCCACAGCTTTAATGCTGACCAGATGGCGGATGTTTGTTTCTGTGATTTGTGCGGGGGAAATACGAACAAGCTGCGAGGCTCCATCCACCCATCCACCCCTGCGCACGCAACATCTCCCGCCAAGCCAGGCGTCTTTCTCTTGCACCTGGGTGGGTGTTGCTGGTTTTTACTGAGATCTCTCACACCTTCACCCAAGGAGAAGACAGCGCTGTGTTGAGCGTAGAGCAGTCTCGCCCAGTGTGGTGTGGATGAAATCAGGGGGTTTAGGGCCCAGTGCAAAACTCACGGGAAGGTTTTGGAGGAGTGAAGGACCTGGTGGCCACGTGGTGCTGGTGGCAGCGACTCGGGGGGTGCAGGGGCCCGCAGAGAGCCCGTCGGGGTAAGGCAGCTTTGCTGCTCCAGCGCCGCTGTTGCCCTGCAGATAGACAACAGTCTGATTACACTGATCCAACCCCTTCTGGGGCCTTGCCAGCACTACTGCAAATCCCCGACCCCAGGTCCCCACTCAGCACCTCTGTCCAGCACTGATTAAGTTTTTTAACAAGGTTTCTGCTTCTCCAGGTACAGCACTTAAAGCCAGACATGCTTGCCCTTCACTCCTTCTTCTCACTTAGCCTGTGGCTTTATTTCCTAATTATTTAGGGTATTTATTTTTTGTTCCCATTTGCAAAGATGCTTAAGCATTTGAGCAGGGCTGAAATACCCAAGCAGCCTGTAACCGTACCTTCAGCCTGCTGCTCTGGGTACCATGGGGCCCATCCGGGATGGCAGCTGTCGGAGGTGGTCAAGTTCCAATTAATAAAATGCATTAATAAACTAATGTGCATTGTGGCATGACCCAGCACACAGGATGCGATGGCAGGAGCTTTGCCAACTTGGTTTACCTCGACCAAGCCAAACACTGGGTGCCATTTCGCAGCACTAATTCGTTGAACAATTTCTTCTCCCCTTGCACTCTTCACTTTAAACTGTAAAGATCACAGATGCTGGCTTCAAAAGATGGGTTAACTTTTTTAAAATTGTCATTAGGGATATTAAGTGATTCTTCCCAGGATGGTCTTTGTGTTACATGTTAATTTTGTCGGGTTTTTTGGGTGAATGAAGCCACATCTTCAGCAGATTTATTGCTTAGTGAATGGTACAACCATGTCATATGTCAGACCTGTGAAATATTAAAATAATGGGCAGGGGATTGTTGTTAATCGGAATTTATCACGCTACATAAAGGCATATTTACAGTCCCACCAGGGGACTATTAATTTGTTTGGGGATAAACAATTAATCTCCCTGGGAGCGGGAGCAGAAAATCTGACACGGTTTTATGTCTTTTCCCAGCGTGGTGGAGGCAGGATAGCTCACAGCCCCGGGCTCCATGGGGTGTTTTTCCCCTGGTGCAGACAAGGGTCTGCTACGCCTGGGGAGAGGCAGCCCACCGGGCAGCGAGGTCTCGCTTCTCCCTGGCCCGTTTTGCGCTGGGAGCTGTGCTCTCTGCTGTGATGCGTGGCCTTCTTCCTGCCCTCGCCTAAGCTGGGCTCTCATAGACAGCCTCGATGCATCTGTTTGTTTCCTCTACATCTATTTTTGGGTTTTGCATCCTGTTTCCTGCATCCTCTGCTTTCTGCTCAAGATACAACAGGCACAAACAGAGAGGAGAGAGGGAGGTGCTGTGCAGCTGGAAGGAGAGGGCTTTTAGATGCAACTCTTTGGTACCTTTGCTCCAAGGACTTCTTCAAACTTCATTCTTTTTCTTGGGAAGTGGCTGCATGATCTGCAGGTGTGACTTGGGATAATTTCTAGCCAAGGCCCTGGAAAGGTTATGACAAAAGCAAAATTTCAGGTTTACAAGAGCATTTCCAGTGTTTTGACAGGTAATGCCAACGTGTTAGGGTTCAGGGTGCTGCCAGCCCCACAGCTCCCCAGTCTTGCTGCCACCTGTTTGAACCCTGATGGCAGGACCCAAACCAGACCCAGCTCTTCTTTCAGTGTAACGCTCACCCACACCCATCTTGTTTGTGCCTTTTTTCTTGGCACAATGTCCTGAAAAACATCTCTGCACCTTTCTGTGGTGTTTAGCAGTCTGAGCAGCTCATATATTGTTTCCAGCAGGAGCTGCGATGTTTTAGGGGATTTGCGCCATCATAATTAAGAAGAACCTAGATCATTAAAAATAATGTTCTTCACACAAGAGAGGAACAAGCCTGCTTCCCAAGACCCCTTTCTACTGAAAAATTCATCGCTCTAAATAATTAATAGTCCTCACAAAGGAGGATGGTTTTGCATGTTGCTGGTTGGAAGGTGAAATTCAGACACCGGGCAGAGTAATCTTTTTTTTTTTTTCTCCCATATTTCCTTGCCATTCTGCTGCCCAGAGAGCGGTGGGAAGCAAGGCTCGTGGCCAGTCTGTGTGATGGGGACACCCATCCCATCCCAAACCCCATGGATCCCTCCCAGGCGACAGATGGGACAAGAGCTGGTCCCTGCCAGGGTTGTCCCAACCTCGTCTCTTTTGCCCTGAGGCAGCACTCATCTCCTTGGGCCTCAGTGGTTTGGACGGAGCTGGAGAGGAGCAGATACCTCCCCTGCCACCATCCCTGCCAAAATAGCCTCTCTGTTTCCCTCGGTAGCTGTTTGCACTGCTGTGCCTTTGACATTGCATGTCAGGAGTTAATTTATTGCTGGGACAGCGTTTGCATTGCTTGTGCGGTGTATAAATAGGCTATAAATAAGGTGCTGATTTCTAATCACTGCGCAGCACCAGGCGAAGTGCTCACGCCTGGGTGTTGCGGTGGTGCCCGTGCTCCCCAGCCCATCCCTCACCCACATCCCCATGTCCCTTTTTGGACAACAGCAGCTCCCGAGCAGGACCCTGCTGCCACGGCACCAGCCAGTCCAGCTGCTAAAAACCAGCTCAGCAGTAAATACCACAGGTAGAGGTAAGGCAGTGCCAGACCTGTGGGGAAGCACTGCTAGTGCTGGAGGGTTTTTTTAGCTGCTTGGACCCCTCATAGCCATCCACAGGGTAAACCCAATTGCTCTTCCTCCCCTCCAGCCTGCCTGTGGCTCCTGCAGCATTACTTGCATTTAGCAGATTATTTACTTCTGATTTGTAACCTCTTTGGGGAGGGCAGGGGGGGACAAACGGAAACGTGTTGGATTTGTTCCTATAGTAACCATGGCTGCCCAAAAGCTCAAATATAGGGGGAACAGCGGAACAGGAAAATTGTGTATTTCTAACCAGAATGTCTCAGCAGGGTGAGTGGGCTGGACAAGAGCAGGTGGAGGTGGGACCTGAGCTCCTTTAGGCAGCTCCTGTATAGGTTATGGAAATGAGGCTTGTTAGGAAGATGGGGACGAGACCTGTCTTACAGCTGTACTGCTTTAGGGAGCCGAGACGCTGATGTTACTGCAGGGTGACTCACCGAAGCCAAGAGCATTTCGTGGAATTTGCCGTGAAATGACAGGGCTTGATGTGGCTGCCGCAATCCTGGGGCCAAGGTGCCCTCGTGCTGTTTGAACACAGCCAGGAGCTGGGTTCTGGAGAAGGAGGCACCTGTCCTGGATCTCCACTGGTACAGGGAACACCTCACTGGAGTGCCAACCCATTGGCAGAGGTGGAAACATCACCTGCAACAGGGACAGAAACAGCGCAGCAGTTAGGTGCCCACACCCACAGGCCAGCTGGTTTTGCCATAAATCAGCGCTTTTCCCAGTTTTAGGTGCTGATGCAGTTTGCATCTTACAGCCAAAATATTAAATAGCAAAACTGCTTTCGCCCCAGCCGGGTGATGGCAGGAGGACAGGCAGCTGTGCTGGCCTCCTCTCTCACTGCCCCTCCACACCGTGCCAGCCCCCGGGGAGAACACTGCCCACAGGCACCCCTATAGCCTCTAGCCCCCAAAGCATCATCCCACGTTTGAGTAACAGCTCCAAATGACTCTGTTTTGCTGCAAAAAAGGCTAAATCAAAGCCACGGCCACTGCAGAGAAAGGCTGGTGGGGCTGCTGGAGGTGAGCGGGGTTAGCGGGCGGGAGCAGCCCACCGTGTCGGCAGAGGCTGGCTGCAATGGAACCTTTGCAGCAGCAGGTTCCCTGGAGGTTCCCTGTTTCCCATGGAGCATCACTGGCAAAATACCTTCTAATTGTCAGGCTTGCAGGGGCAGGCACCATCAAGAGATAGATTTCAGTTCTCAGTGGAGGCAGTGACACGCATCACGGACATCTAATGGCACTTATATTAGTGACATAAACCTTCATGCACGTAACACATTTGCTATTATCACCATAGACCGAATGCTAATAACCCCTGGGACCAGGTGACAGGTGAACCGTGGCCTCAAGACTTAACAGGGAATTGAAGCAACAGAAGGTGAAAGGGAAAAAGTGGGAGGAGCTGCAGAAGATGGAGCCCCACTTCTCGCTTCAAGAGGGGGAATTTATGGGGAGTTATCGTGGGGACAGTGAAGGGGATCACCACACTGACAGCCCTGCGTGTCCTTTCAGACAAGCGCCGTGCTGTGTGCGGGCGGCTGTGCCCTGCTTGCCCTCAGCTCGCTGCTGGCCATCGTCGCCGTCCTGCTGCCCAGCGGAGCCTGCGAGAGGAGAGTCTGCACCCTGGCTGGCTACATGCAGACAGCAGCAGGCAAGTGACAGAGACTTTGCTCTTTGGGGTGAAAAGATGGGGTTTCTCCAGGGGGCTGCCATTCACAGCATCCTGGGTCTCAGCAGCAAGAGATGCTTGCAAACCCTAACCAACACTGGCAGGAGAGAAAAGAACAAAAAGAGAGAGGCCCTTTGCTTTAGCAATTGCCTCTTGCACCCATGCTTATAAAATGTATTGAAAATCACCTCCATCCAGATAAGCAGGTTTGTGGCAGAGAGCCTGGCCTGCAGGTCCTGCTCACTGTCCTCTGCTGAGGCTCTGGCGTAGGGCTCCGTCCTCACAGCGAGTGGTGGGGACCAGGCTGTCTGCTGGCAGGGTGCTGCTGCGAAGGCTGCAGTCCCATTTGGGCCATCTTCACAGCTAAACCTCTGGAAGGATTTCCCTTTCTGAGCTTTACACCCAAGACAGGCTGTTTTCCCCCCTGTCCTGCATCTCCCCCTGCCTCCCTGGGCAGCCTGCTTGATGCTGCATTCACTTCTATTTCCATTACAATTGCTTATACTTCTGCCTTTGAGAAGTGCTAATGAAGACAGGAGGAGGCAGGCAGCTGGGGAAGATCCAGCCCTGTCCCGTGCTCCTTGTGGAGGCACAAAACCCACCCGAGACCCATCTCCACTGCAGGGAAGCCACATCTCCAGGAGCTGAAGTGTTGGATTAAGCAGCCCCAACTGGACACGAGCCACGACAGTCGGGAGATTAAACCACCCATTCGTGTCTGTGCCCGAGAATAAACTCCTTTCCTTGGAGAAATCCTCAGGGCCAGCCAGACTTCGTTATCTGCCCAGCAGCATCCAAGCGGCTTTTGGGGGAAATCCTGTTATGCGCTCTCCTCACCAAGGCTCATCCCACGGGAGCCGATTTGGGAACAGATGGAGGGGCCTGGCCCGTTAGCTATGGCTGCTCCAGCTCAGCCGGGCTGTGGGTCCCCAGAGGCAGCTGCTCCTGCCTGCGTGACCCTTGCATCCCCTGGAGGCTGCCATTTTGGGGTTTCCATCACAGCCAACGGCTTCCCTGGGGCGCAGGACAGAGGCTGGAGGAGCCCCATGGTGTGGGTCACTGGGAGGTGGCTCAGGGTGGCTTTGCAGGGGTTCTCCCGTGCAGGAAATCACTGGGATGGAAAGGAGTAACCCTGGGTTACACTTGCCCAGGGGGGTGGCACATCCCTGCTGCGTCTGGCTCTGCAACGAGAGACAAGCAGGTACAAAGCAAGGGATTAGGAAAGGTCCCTGGAAAGGAAACTGACTGTCGCAGATAAATACAAATGAGGCGCTCTGAGGGGTTTTGGTAATATTGAACAGGCTGTAAATAAACTGTAGGCTCTAAACGTTATTGACAAATGAAAATTTACTGGGTACGTTCAAGCAAGCTAATGGGTTGCTTTAAACCCTGGTGGTGCCTTGCTAAGCATTTTGTATTGCGCTTTTTAATTTTGGTTCACTGTGGATTAATTTCCATTCAAAGCCAGGCAGCCCTGAGTCAACAGAATTAAATGGTTTAATGTATTTGTATTCAGAAATGCTGTCCCCCTCTAATTGCTCTCCCTCCTTCCCTCCCTCTGCAGGAGAGGGCTCATCATTAGAGATCAGCTGCAGCCAGGTGACAGAGAAACACCTCCCTAAAAATCACGTTATCTCAGAGAAAAGCAGGGATTTTAGGGTAGATGAACTTATATGGGAGAGAAGAAAAGCAGAGCAAGCCCGTAAGGTAGATGATAGAGCAGATAGGGGGGTGGGGGCAGCTCTGCCAGGAACCCCTTATAAAACCACCACAAGATACCAGCAGAGCAGTGCTGGGGAGGAGGGGGCCACATTTCTCCCAAACCTCAGGTTTCCCTGAAGCACAGCAGGTCCTACAGGCACCCTCCTTCTGCCTGCCCTTACCTTTTCCCCTTGAAGTCCAAATTTTGCTCCCCTTTTCCCATCCCACAAAAAACAGCTCAAGGTAGTCTGCAGAGCATCAAAGGCATGAGTAAATAAGTTTAGTACTATGAAATATTGACTCAGGCAATCTAATTTCCTAATAAAGAGCCAGGTGCACTCAGCAGGAGCATGAAACGGGCCGTAAAGTGCACAAGCAGAAGCACTTGCAGAGCCAGGATCAGTCCCAAAAGGCTCCGCACTGTGTCAGACAGATGTCCTGAGCCACACTCAGGTAAATCCAGGTGCAAAGGCCAAGCTGAACTAAACATGAATCAATCCTGAGAGCAGCCCCACACTCACATGACGCCTTTAACACTTCCCTGCTGCTTTTTTAGAGATCCACGTTGTGCCTTTTTCAGCTCCAGAAGGAAGGAGCGAAGACAGAAACCTCATGCAGATAGAGCAGAGCATTAATTGCAGACACAGACATGCCATGAGGGTTGAGAGCTGGGCTAATTGCCACCATATGTTGCACACATGATTCCTGATCCCTGGCATCCACCCCTTAAAAAAAATACAAACCAAACAAACATCATATCCATACAAATGACAAGAGGATGATCCCTAATGAAAGAGTAAATGAGCAGCAGAGCAACAGGGAGAGGGGGAAGGACAGGAGACAGAACATTCACTCACCCAACAAACGAAGTCAAAGCCGTCCCTGAGAGATCAGAGATGAGGCTGATTCTCTGAGTGTGGTGCCACCATATTTAAAAATAAATTGCTGCTGCAATACCTCCTCCCAAACCTGCACAGCAGCAACATTAGAGAAGCTGTGGTAGCCAAGCTGGTCCCATTTATGTGTGGGGCAGCAGGGCAGCCCCAGCACCCAGCTGCAGCCCGTCGCTGCTGATGGAGAGAGGCTCCAGGGCTACCCTCAGGGACAGGGAGTGCAAATGGCTGCACAGCTGAAATCCTGCCACAGTTGTTTTTCGGCAAAGGTTTATTTGCTGGCATTTTAAAAATAAGAGTTGATTCCAGGGAGAAATGTTTCCTGCCCCGTGGGGCTGTAAGGGAAGGGCTGGGGATGTTCTCCAGGGCTGGCTGTGCCTGTACAACCTCTCTGGTGGCTTCCAGGTGCTCTGCCAGGGGCCTGTGGTTTATAGCTGGACATTACATTTTAATTCTGCAAAACTCTCAGACCAGTTTTTGAGTGACTGCCAGTGACGAAGGTGCTGGAAGGAGCATGGGGCCACCACAGTGTCCCAGGCAGCAGCTTCACCCATGGGCATCTGTTGGTGACGTCCCGGTGAGCCCTGAGGTGCCGCTCCAAGCGCTGCCTCAGCCCACATGGTCCCCAGCAGCGTCACTGCAGTAAAGGAGTGTCCTGAGGGCTGGGGGTGCTGAGAACCAAAGCAGCCTCCACCAGGTTTCCAGCATGGACTGTGTCTGCTCCCCAGCCCTGCAGCATCTGCGCTCCACTGGGAACAGCCCGTCCAGGGGAGCGAGGCTCGCTGCCAGTGGAAACGGAGATTGCAACCAAGGCTGAGTAAAGCCCATCAAACGGCAAATCCAGACAGCTTTCTGCTTTTGGTGTTTGTGGGACTAAGGGAAGGATTATGGGTCTGCTGTTGGATTAAGCTGCTGGTGACCGTGCTCTGGCACCAAAGCAGATTGTGTCTGCTGCTTAGGAAAGGCAACAAGTCTTTGTAGACACGCAGCAAGGACTAGCAGCCTTCCCTTACAACTCCTTTTGCTACCCTAAAAGCCTGGATAAAAGCAGGATTGTGATGCTTTGTGGAAGCTTTTCATCAGGTGCTTTTCAGGCAAAGGGCTCTTGCTTTGCTGGCGAGTGGTGGCTGACCCATCGGTGCTTAGTAACTGGATGCACCCAGAGCCTTTCCCTGGTCTCTGAGATGTGCCGTCGAAGTGGTCTGACAAAAGGAGGCTGCAGAGCTTTGCACCTTGGCGAGGGCACAGGTGCAGCTGAGCATGAGGGAAGCCTTAGGGGAGAGTTTTGCTTTCACCCCACGCTGCTCTCTGTCTAATCCTACCACCATCAACTCACTGCTTAAGAGAAACCCAGTGCTCAGGGCAAAATGATCCTGACCTGCCTGTGCCTTTCTAAGGCTCTTTTGGTTTCAGAGAACAATTTCCCAGCATCGCTACGACAGAATCAGAACAGTTATAAGACTCCAGTAAGACAGGCAGAAACTCTCAGTTATGCAATTCCCTCACTTAGCTGCACATCAATCCTAAGTTTCATGGTAGTCCTAAGAGCTTTTTCCTGCAAAATTTGATTACCTTCTGCAGCCAAGAGCCCTCTTGCTGGCTGAAGCATGGTGACATTACAGAGATGGCCTCAGCTTTTGGTTAGTTAAGCAGCAAAGAAAAATGCAGACCTTGTGCTTTTTGAAGTAGCCTGTGATTACATAAGACACTGATCACCAGGTAAGAAGAACACACAGAGAGGGAGAATCATTCATTTGCCCATGACAGGGAGGTTGGATTAAATGATCTCTAAGGTCCCTTCCAGCCTAAGCCATTCTATGATTCTATGATTTTCAGATGAGTGGGATTCTTTTAAATGCTTCACATCCCAAGGATTGGAAATGGACTGTGCCATTCCCCTGGGAGTGCTGCAGGACGGGTGGAGGTTTGCCTCAGCCTTGGGATGCAGGCACGTGCTGGGGGCAGCAGGGACATGGCAGGTCTGTGCCTGTGTCACAGCGTTATTTGGGAAGACAGCATGTGGTCACTGCCCCCACCCTGTCCTGCATCTCAGCCCTCGTTTGGGATTGATGGGGCCCTATTTTTCCCAGCTTGTGCAGGCTCTGAATGGCAAACAGCACCGTCATCCACGTACGTATTGATTCCTCGGGCTAGTATCGATCAGGCTGGTGACATGTAGGTAATGTGTAATTAGTAACTTAGATAAAAATAACACTAAGAAAGTGTACAACCATGCTGCTTGGGTACTCCGACCTAGCATCTCCACGGTGGCAGCAAATAGAGGGGTTGTATCTGCCTAGTAATAGCTGACCTACTATTAAAAACACTGTGAAAACCTTCCCTCCCGGCTGCCCTCCCTGCTGTACGAGGTGGAGAGCTGCTTGACAG